AAGACGGGATGTGGTTTTGCTAAAATTATTAGTATAAGTTATGATACCTCTCTCGGCTATTTCTTAAGTTGTACAGAAATGATTTATGGCTATGTTCTTAATATATAATTTCAAACCTTTTCTTTAATTATGCAGCATCATCTACGATAGATTATCAAAGAATGGAGGAAGGTTTCAAGAAGCTATGACAAAGCATTTAAATGATTATGGGGAAGCAGGGTTGCGTACACTTGTGCTTGCCTACAAAAAGCTCGATGAGGCGGAGTACTTAGCCTGGAATGAAGAGTTTGCTAAAGCAAAATCTTACATTGGCGGTGACAGAGATGCCATGCTTGAAAGAGTATCTGATATGATGGAAAGGGACTTGATCCTTGTTGGTGCAACTGCTGTGGAGGATAAACTACAGAAGGGAGTATGTACCTTATACAACAACTACGCCTCAGTACCTTATACAACAACTACGTCTCAGTCCGAAACAAGTTAGGGTCGACTATATGAATCCTCACTGACCATGTTACTCCATTTAAACTCATCTCAGGCCAATATTATAAAAACAAAAATAAAAAGTACTAGAATTTGATATATTTTCTATTTACTTATGAAAGGCTAAACAACTCCTAAGAAAGCAAAGGATGTAAAGTAAAAGTGCTAACATGACTTAAAACGTATTCTCAACTAATAGGTATCGCCTATCTTTCGCTAAGGAATATGAGCTTGCTTAAAAATTCAAAGTATATTTTCTTGCACATAATGGCACTTTCTGACTAATTCATTATTTATCTTTTCACCAGGTTCCTCAGTGCATAGATAAACTGGCGCAAGCTGGTCTCAAAATCTGGGTACTGACAGGTGATAAGATGGAAACAGCCATCAACATAGGGTCTGTCTCCTAAAGAGAGAAATGTTTTCCAACATTAATACTTATTCAGTCATTGGTTTATAACTGCTAAAGTACAAATTCCTGTTTCCTTGCAGCTATGCGTGTAGTTTGCTTCGACAAGGAATGAAACAGTTAAGCATAACGACAATGAATGCAGGTTCAGTGGCCCAAGATTCTAAACAGGTAGGGCATTCTAAAATAAGTATGCAAAGTTTTTAGGAGATCTATTATAAGTGATGGAGTTCTGTTTTTTACTGGTCAGGCTATGAAGGAGGACATTTTGAAGCAAATCACAAATGCTTCTCAAATGATCAAACTTGAAAAGGATCCACATGCTGCGTTTGCCTTAATTATTGATGGGAAAACTCTAGCTTATGCTTTGGAGAATGATATGAAGCAACACTTTTTGAACTTAGCAGTTAATTGTGCATCTGTCATCTGCTGTCGTGTATCTCCTAAGCAGAAGGCCTTGGTAAGATAAACCAGATTGGCTTCTGCGATTCTACCCCGATTATCCAGCCATGAAATTGGTCATATTTATATTTCCTTTGTAATTGATTTTGATCAGGTTACTAGATTAGTAAAAGAGGGAACTGGAAAAATCACCTTAGCAATTGGCGATGGTGCAAATGATGTTGGGATGATTCAAGAAGCGGACATCGGCGTTGGTATCAGTGGTGCAGAAGGAATGCAGGTTAGCGGTGCATCTACGTGGCATTTGGTCCTTATTAATCTAAAAGGTTTTTCAGCATTTTGCTTAAAACGCATTATTTTTTTTCATAAGCATCAAGCCCGCCTTTTTCGCCCAAGCGGATTTCCCCGTGCTACCGAGTTTTGAGCAGACTATGGATCCATTCGACGATCTTTTTGATAATATATGCAAACAAATAATAACTATAGTCCAACCATTTCCCGAATTTCTAGGGTGGGATTTGTATTTTTTGGACGAAGTTATTTCATTGTCTCTTTTTTCCCTGATGGATGAATATTATTTTTCCATTGAATGCCTCCAAGGCATATACTTAGATTTAATCACCAATGGTGCTTCTTCAGCCTTTTTAACCTTTTTTCTTAATTATTGAATTGAAGTTATATAAAAAATGAACTGACAAAGCGTCTGTTCACGGAGGTTGTTGTATTTTTCGTAGTTGCAAGAATTTTTTTCTCACTATTGGGTTGGTATTTAGTGTACCGCTTGTCTAGCCTATGCTTTGATGAACATCTCAATGTCCAAGCTCTAGATTTTTATGCACATAATTCCAGTCCTGCTTTTTCAAACTTTGAATTGCGAATTGTAATGTTTGTTACAATATCATGTGACATCACCCTCTATTATGTTGCAGGCTGTGATGGCGAGTGACTTTGCTATTGCGCAGTTCCGGTACCTGGAGAGACTTCTTGTTGTACATGGGCATTGGTGCTATAAACGAATTGCTCAGATGGTAATGACTGTACATAATGTTTCAATTTGTGGATAGAAGATCAAATACATATGGCCAGTGACATAAAATGCCTAAGCAGATAAATATGTGATTATATTCGTGATCTAACTGGATCTTTCTCCTATACTTTTCTGACTTGCATTTTATCTTCTGCGTTCAGATATGTTATTTCTTCTACAAAAACATCTGTTTTGGCCTCACACTTTTTTACTTCGAGGCTTTTGCTGGCTTTTCGGGACAGTCTGTCTATGATGATTCATATATGATGCTATTCAACGTCATTCTTACTTCATTGCCTGTAATTGCACTTGGAGTATTCGAGCAGGATGTGCCTTCCGACGTTTGTTTAAAGGTAATTCCTCCGGTTAATATCTCAGTTCTCATAGTATCAATTAAAATCATAGACATCTTCCTTCCTTGCTCCCTCAAGAAGTTTTACCTAAAGTTGTCATTTCTGCTATATTGTTCCGCAGTTTCCAGCACTTTACCAACAAGGGCCGAAAAACTTGTTCTTTGACTGGTATAGGATACTCGGATGGCTTGGCAATGGTATCTACACATCCCTCATTATTTTCTTCCTCAACATTATCATCTTTTACGATCAAGCCTTCCGTTCTGGAGGCCAGACGGCTGACTTGACAGCTTTGGGTACTACGATTTTTACCTGTGTCATATGGGCTGTGAACTGCCAAATTGCACTTACTATGAGTCATTTCACATGG